TAATAACAGCAAACAAACCAAAGATACAAGAAGCCTATAAGGCACCAAGATAAATACCAAAAAATCTACACCTACACATATATTCACACCAGAACAGAAAACAAGAGACAAAAAGAAAATCTGAAGCCAGAACACAAAAAACACCTTAACTATACAGGAATAATAATAAAAATCACATCAGATTTCTTTTCAGACACCATGCAAGCCAAACAGAGTGGAGGGAAATATTAAAGCACCATCAATCAAATTGGATCTGACATTCACAGAATACTTCATCCAAGAACAGAATACGCATTCTTCTCAAGTGTACATGGAACATTCACCAAAATAAACCACATTCTAGGCCATGAACACACCTTAACAAATTTAAAAGAAATTTGTAGAAATCATACAGTATATGCTTTTAGACCACAATGGAATTAAACTAGAAATCAGTAAGAGAAAGAAATGCTTTGCGATTTAACAACACATTTCTCAACGGCACATGGGTCAAAGAAAAAATCACAAGAGAAATTAAAAAATATTTTGAACTACAGGGCACCTGGGTGGCTCAGTGGGTCGAGCCTCCGCCTTCGGCTCAGGTCATGATCCCGGGGTCCTGAGACAGAGCCCCACGTCGGGCTCCCTGCTCGGCGGGAAGCCTGCTTCTCCACCTCCCACTCCCCCTGCTTGTGTTCCCTCTCTCCCTGTGTCTCTCTCCGTCAAATAAATAAATAAAATCTTTTAAAAAATAAAATAAAATAAAAAATAAAAAAAATATTTTGAACTAAAAGAAAATCAATTTAACAAAATTTGTGGTATGTAACAAAAGCAGTGCATAAAGGAAAATCTATAGCATTAAATGCATATATCAAAAAAGAAGAAACATCTGAAAGCAATAATCTCAGCTTTAATTTTGGGAAACTAAAGAAAGATGAGCAACATAAAACTAAAGCAAGTAGAAGAAAAGAAATATTAAAAATTAGATCAGGAATCATTGAAATTGAAAACAGAATACCAACCAATTAAAAGTCAAAAAAATTAAACCTAGTTCTTTGAAAAGATAAATAAAAGTGATAAACTTCTATACAACATAACCAAGAAAAAAGAGAAATGACACAAATTACTGACATAAGAAATGAAAGATGGGTCATCACTACTAATTGATGAACAATTATAGGATAATTAAGCAAAAATGAACTCTACGCCCACCAATTTATTGACTGGAATGGACCCTGAGACACCTAGAAGTACCAAATATTACATAAGATAGAGATAACCTGAAGAGTCCTATACTTATTAAAGAAATTAAATCAGTAATTAATAACTCTCACCAAACTAGGAATAAAGGAGACTTTTTTTTTAAGACTTTATTTATTTACTTTAGAGAGAGAGAGAGAAAGAACACAGAGGGAGAGGGAGAAGCAGACCCCTACTGAGCAGGGAGCCTGACACCTGGCTTAATTCCAATATCCTGGGATCGCCACCCAGGCCAAAGGCAAATAAATGCTTAACTAACTGAGCCAGCCACCCAGGTGCCCTAAAGGAAACTTCTTTAACTTGATAAAGATTATCTACAACAAGATACAATTAACACCATGCTTAACTGTGAGGATCTTGAAGCTTTCCCACTAAAATATGGTACACAAGGGAGGGCGCCTGGTTGGCTCAGCTGGTTGAGAGCTGTACTCTTGATTTCAGCTCAGGTCACAGTCTCAGGGTTGTGAGATCAGCCCCATGTTGGTAGGCTCTGTGCTGGGCATAGAGAGTACTTAAGATTCTCTCTCTCCCTCTGCACCCCCCGCCCCGGCCCCGGACTGCTCATGCACTATTAAAAAAGAAAAAACCAACACCCAAAACCCTGCTGGAATTAATAAGTGATTACAGCAAGGTCACAGCTAAGGTTATTATACAAAGGTCAGGGACAACATGGATGGACCTAGAGAGTGTTAATTATGCTAAGTGAAATAAATCAGAAAAATACAAATATTGCATGATTTCACTTATAGGTAGAGCCTAAAAAACAAAATAAATGAACAAACAGAAACAAACTCATAAACAGAGAATAAGCTGGTGGTTGCCACAGGGGATGGTGTGGGGAGATGGGTGTGGGGAGATGGGTGAAATAGGTGAAGGGATTAAGAAGTGTTAATTTAAAGTTATCAAATAAAAAAGTCACAAAGATGAAAAGTATGGCATAGGAGTATAGCCAATAATATTGTTAATAACACTGATGGTGACTACACTTACCATGATGAACACTGAGTAATGCTGTAGAACTGTCAAATTATCATGTTGTACACATGAAACTAATAGAACCCTGTATGTCAACTATACTTCAAAAAAATATACACATATATACAAAAGTTCATTGCTTTCTTATATGCCAGCAATGAACAGTTGAAATTTGAAATTATAAATATCATTTATGTTAACATCAAAAAACATTTAGGTATTAATATTTAGGTATTTAGGTATTTAGGAAATATTTGGGTATTAATCTTTATTTGGGTATTAAGTCTTATTTAGGTATTAATCTTTAAATATTTAGGTATTTAGGTATTTAGGAAATATTTGGGTATTAATCTTTATTTGGGTATTAAGTCTTATTTAGGTATTAATCTTTAAATATTTAGGTATTTAGGTACAAATCTTTAAAAATGTACAAGATCTGGGGCGCCTGGTTGGCTCAGTCGGTTAAGCGTCCAATTCTTGATTTTGGCTCGGGTCATGAGATCAAGCCCTATGTCAGGCTAGGCACTGGGTGTGGAGCCTGCTTAAGATTCTCTCTTTTCCTCTGCCCCTCTCCCCTACCCACCAAAAGTACAAGATCTATAGGAAAAAAAAACACATTAAAAACTCTCATGTAAGGAATCAAAGAATATCTAAATAAATGGAGAGATATTCCATCTTCATGGATAGGAAGACTCACTACTGCTAAAATGCCAAATTTTCCCAATATGATCTAGATATTCAATACAATCTCAATCAAAATCACAGCAAGTTATTTTGCAGATATCAACAAACTGATTCTAAAGTTTATATGAAGAGGCAAAAGACCCAGAATAACCAAAATAACATTGAAGGGGAAGAACAAAGTTGGAGGGCTCATATTACCTAACTTCAAGAATTACTATTATAGGGGTGCCTGGGCAGTGCAAACGGTTTAGTGTCTGACTCTTGATTTCTGCTCAGGTCATCATCTCAGGGTGGTGAGATGGACCCCGTGTCCAGCTCGGCGCTCAGTGCAGAGTCTGCTTGAGATTCTCTCGATCCCTCTGCCCCTCCCCGTGATTGTGTGTGCATGCAGAGCACACGCGCACACTCTCTCTTTAAAATAAATAAATAAATAAATAAATAAATCTTTTTAAAAAACTGTTCTAAATTCCATCTAGAAATGCTGAGGGAATATATTTTTATTTTCCATATACTTCATCTATAAGAAACATTTATTATAATGTTTTGATTTAATTATAAACAGCACCTGAAATGTAGCAATCTGAATTCTTAAGGTACAGGTATGAACAAATAAAATTATGAATAATTCTACATATAATTCATAAAGAGCAAAGATGCCAATGAACTGAAGAAACACACTGATTAAAAATATTATATTACTGAATTAGTGTTCACTGTATATAGTTTTCAGTGTTCCAAGATGAAAAAGTTCTAGAATTTTGTTATACATACTTAACACTATTGAACTGTACACTTAAAAATGGTTAAGACATCAAATTTAATGTTATGTGGTTTTTTTAAAACTATAAAAAATTTTAATACTTTATTACAGTATTTGTTAGCATGCTTCATTCAATAACTTAGGAAAGGCCTGAAGTTAATATGCTAAAACATAAAAATAGCAGAAACATCAGCTTCCATATAATTTTCATTTATGCAAATTATTTCCTTTAAAGACAAATAAAAGAAAGAATACAGGTTGAAACTGAACTAATTTGTTTTTCTTTACATTTCCCCTCATCACTGAGTTTACTGAACAAAAATGGAAGATTTTTAAGCTTACTTTTAATGCCTTTTATCCTAAAAATTACAGTAAATAAAAGATGAATGAATGATAAATTTTATCCTTCTCAATAATTGAGTCCAGTGGATGGTTATTACACGATAGCCATAAAGTAAACTTTTTCCATTTAAGTAAGTTAAAAACATGATAAAACACTCTATATTGGTTAGGTTATATTTACCATGCAATTTCCACTTAATGCTTTTCTATAACCCAATTTCAAAAATTACACAGAACACTGTTGAGGCAATGAAGTCTCTCATTTTGAGAGAAGTTAAAAAAAAAAGACACCAGATTTATCTTCACTGTGGTTTACTCTAACACAGTATGAGAAAAATGAAAAATAAAAAACAAGCAAAGTTGTTAACAAACATAGGTTTTCCCTTACTGTCAAATTTACTAAATACACCACTCATTAGTCATCTCCAGTAACAAAAGATGTGTGTGTGTCGGTGTGTGTGTGTGTGTGTCTGGATGTGTATGACATGCCTGAAGTTTCACCATAACAATCCTGAAACAGCACAAGCTAAAATAGGCTCTCACTTCAAAATGTAACAGTCCATTTAAATCAACAATCTAGAAGATCCCTGTCCCAATATGGGACCACAGAGTCGTTAATGAACAAACACATAGCCAGTTTTTCTAAAAATGAGATACATAAACTACTGGTAATAATAAACCTTAAGTGGTACACTTAACCCAAGAGAGAGGACAAAGCATGTTTCTGGGGAACAAGGGTCTCCTCTAGTCATATTTGCTCCTATAATGGTTTGGTACTAAAAACCATACCACTGATGAATCTCAAATGTGCTTGAATCCCTAGGACATTTGATATTTAATAACAGAAGCCAGTGGCCTAGTGAATTATACCCTCTTTTGTTCATGAGACCAAGAAATTTAAAGAATTAAATTTTATTAGAATAAGCTAAAGAAAATAAATAAATGTTCCTGTGTACACTGCTAGACAACTCTAAATTATGAAAAGCTGGAGAATATGTACCTGAATTCATTTAGGGCATCAACTATTCGATTATATGCCAAACTCCTCTGACTGGCATCCGCTGATCTCCGGCTCATTTTCATAGCCTTGGAAGCAATGAAATAGTTAATTTTTACACTGATCACAGGCAAAAAATGGGAGGAAAAAAAGTGAAAGACAAAATCACTTATTTCCACAACACTCTACCATCACGTAAAGAGGGCACATACATTTATAGTGGCTTTCTTTTTTGCATCTTTGATCATTAACAATTGTAACAAAATTCAAAATTTTCAAATGTTAAATCTCTTATTGTACCTGTCAAATAGCAGAATATCAACACACACACACAAAAACTGATGTTGACATAAAACTACTTTTTTTTTTTTTTTTTACTACAGAGCAAGATACAACGATACCTCAGTAACAACAGCTCATGGCTTCCTCTAGTATTTTCACAGATAATGGCTTGTTAAGTAAACATTTTTAAAAATCTAAAACATCAGGATTCTACTGAAAGATATCTCAAGTTATTAATAATATTTGCTTTCTTAAAAACATATTTAGCCAAGGTTGAGAGGCCTTGCTTTACATGGACAAAAACTGGATCACGATTAGGATATGAATGTCAAAAAGAACTTTGTAATTTTTTAGACATTTTAAAGAGAATGGATTTCTGCATTACTTAGGTAATCAAAAATCAATTTAAAAAAATTTAAACATATATTTCAGAGGTCAGACTACTTTAAGACCAGAAATCATGTTCATGTACACCCAAAAGCTTCATAAGGTAAAAGTGAAACTCTGTGTTTTTACAAACTGTTGAGATTCCCAATTTATTAAAAAAAAAAAAGTGAATATTCTTTAGCTAGAATTGAACACTATTCTTAATTTTACCAGCAGTAAAAATTTAAAATTACAGTATAGATCTCAAAAGCACAAACTTCAAAATAGTTCCCAAGGTACCCAGAAACAAAATCCATATATTTTCATTAAAAAAAAAAACAAAAAAACAAATAAGTGATACTGTCAAAACTGGCCCTAAAAGAAAACTTCTTTGGATGGTCCACTGTTCACTATTTTCTATAGTTAATTAACAGCTATAGAACTTTTAAAATTAATTAAGTTCTGTTTATTTATATAAAGGTATTCATTCATTAAGCTTTATCTTTCAGCTATAATAAGAAATGAGATGTTAAACTTGTTGAACAAATATCAAAACAACTGTAAGTACTGCAATGTACACTTTTAGATTATAAAATGGTCAAAGCATTAAAACATTTAAAAAGTAATCTTTAATGAGTTCTATATTGCCTATTTCAAGTTTTATACAAAACTTGAACCAATTCTCCCAATAGCTCAAAACGTCAGTTCAGCCGCAGCTAAATATTATGTGTACTGACTTTGGCAACATCAGATTTTTTACAAAAAGGGACAGCCGCAGGGCGCCTGGGTGGCTCAGATGGTTAAGCGTCTGCCTTCGGCTCAGGTCATGATCCCAGGGTCCTGGGATCGAGTCCCACATTGGGCTCCCTGCTCCTTGGGAGCCTGCTTCTCCCTCTGCCTCTCTCTCTCTCTCTCTCTCTCATGAATAAATAAATAAAATCTTTAAAAAAAAAAAAAGGGACAGCCGCCAACTGAAGAAAATGTCACCAAGGTCTAACTTCTGAAAGCCTAAGTGAAAATGGCCTTTACTCATTTGTTCAAATAAAGATGTATTGCTAATGATCTATTTGTCCTTTGACAGATTTAATGTGAATAACAAACATCAGTGTATTCTCTAGAGGCAGATGAGCCTCAGTCACTGCTGGGCTACTGAAATGCATCCTCTGCTTTCTAGACCTTTCTAATTGGTCTTCCTCTCTCTAGCCTCTTATTCTACACTCTTAAAAAACATACTGCTAAATTAATCTTCCTAAAGCACGATTTGGAGACAGCTTTAATAACAAAGTCAAAACTTCCGGCTAGCATTCTAGATACTTTGTGGTCTGGCTCCCATTAATTCTGCCAGCCATACCATCCACTACCCCTCTTCTATCCTTTCCCTTCCACATACTGTCAATGGGATTAAGAATTTACTTATACCCACTGATTCATTACTTTAACTTTCTGGGAATCTTCTTAAAAATAATACGGAAACTTCACCACGATGTTAATTACAGTGTAGAAATAATTGTGAAAAAGTAGAAATGACTTAATAGAAAAACAGTTACTTAACTTGAGGAAATCCCCTCAAATATATTTAAGAACACTTTACAATGACATGAGAAGTGTGTATGTTACAATGATGAGTTTTTTAATAGGCCACATCATTATAATACGGACACAGAACAATCCCAATGAAGTAAAAAAACAATATACATAGAAAAGGTCTGGGAAGGCTTTCAGCAAAATGTTACAGAGTTATTTTTGGGTGGCAATTTTCTTGCTATTCAGCTATATCCAATTTTCAAAGCTTTATGTTTAAAAAATCCTACATATCCTTTAAGATGCAGTCCGGATGAAACATCTTCTCAATAGGAAGTCATTTTCTATGAACAACTTTGCTTGTCTTTTTTATTCTTATGTCCTATCTTGTATTCACCATCTTCTTACTTGTATATAAATTTATTATATACACTATCAGCAGCATGAGACGCAACTGATCACTCCTACCTTCTTAAAACATTTCATTCATTTGGCTCCCCTCAAAAAAAAAAAAAAAAAAGTATTCTATATTGTTTTTCCTATTACTTGAATGGCCAATCCCATTTCCTTCTGTGGTTCTTTCTCAACTCTTCAAATTTTAACTGCTGAAATGCTCCACAAATCAAGCCTAGGATCTCCTCTCCTTTCTTCTATCCCTCAGTTTCATGGCTTTAAATGCCATTAATACATTGTTGACTATCTAGCCTGGACCTTTTCCCTCAACTCTAGACTCATATAACCACTTAGATGTCCAAGAGGCATTTCAAATACCTGACTTTCCTCCACCCAACCTGTCGCATTTTAGTACTGGCAACTCCATCCTTCTTACTGCTCAAGTGAAAAATCTCAAGCCAACCTGTACTGTTCTCTTTCTCGTATACCCCAATTCATTTCATCAACTAGTCTCATTAGCTCTATTTTCAGAACATATCCAGAATCCAACCACTGCTCATCAATTCTAACTAAATTGGTTTGAGTATCCACCATCTCTCACCGGATCACTGCAACAACCTCCTAATTGGTTCCCACAGCATCCACCTTTGCCTCTAGAAATCTATTCTTCACAAGCAGTAAGAGTGATCCTCATAAATAATGTCATTCCTCTGCTTGAAACTCTCCAATGATTTCCCGTCTTTCTTAAGAGTAAATGCCAGTGCTCTTACAATGGTATCCTAAAAGTCCCTACATAATCTGAAGTTTCTTCTAAACCAGCCACTTTGGCCTCCTTACTTTGCTCAAGCATCAGGGTTATTCCTGACACAGTCCTTTGCCCCAGCCTGAAAAATTCTTCCCTCAGATAATCGTACCTCACTTCTTCCATATCTCTGGATCAAATGTCATTTTATCAGAGCCTTCATGACCAGCCAACAAAAATTAGAAGAACTCCATCCAGCATTCCTTATAAACCTATTTTATTTTTCTCCACAGCATTTATTATCATCAAAAATCATATTTGGGGCACGTGGGTGGCTTAATTGGTTAAGTGTCTGACTCTTGATTTTGGCTCAGGTCATGATCTCAGGGTCATGAGACAGAGCCCTCCATCGGGCTCTGCGCTGGGCATGGAGCCTGCCCAAGATTCTCTCTCTCCCTCTTCCTCTGCCCTTCTCCCTGGCTTGTGCATGCATGCTCTCTCTCTCTCAAAAAAAAAAAAAAAAAATTATAATAGTAATAAAATTTAAAAAAACATATATATTCGTTTGCTGTCTCATGAGGTCCAGAGTGTTGCTTTTTCCCATATTATCTTCAGTTGCTAGTGCTTGCCACACTACAGGCCCTCAGACATTTAGTGAATGAACAGATGAATGACTTTATAACATTTATTAAGTAGTAAGCTCCTTGAGAAGAGTTGAAGTCTATTTTGCATCTCCAGAGTACTTTGTAGGGTACTTGCACTGTGGCTGTTAATTTTTCTGCCAAGTGAATAAACATAATACTAAACTAGGAGAATAAGATTCAGAGGAAAATAAAAGACATAAACAAACCAACAATATGACTGTGCTCACCTGTTCTATTGCACTCTTTAGTTTGTTCATGTGGCTTTCAAAGAGAGGAAAATGTGAAAAAAAGAATTCATTAAATTTGTTATTTTCATCTTCATCTTTGGATAATGAAAAGATTACCCCAATTGCAATCTTCTTTTTCCTCACAATTCCTGGGTTAGGGCCACAGCTTTCATCTGACAGATTAAAGCTTTCTTCTATAGACCTTAAAAATAAAGTTTTTTTAATTAAAAAATACAAAAATAATTAAATTCACAACTTAATTCCTTGCTAATTAAATGCAGACTAAAGATCTTTTTCTGCTTTATCAAGTAAATCTAAAAATGCATATCAACTGTTATCTCTTTAAGAAATCTACTGGCTATTCCTTCATGCTCACTTTTCTATAGGAAATTTTAACAGAGAGTCAAATTGGGAACATTTTTGTTCAATTAGAAGTCACTAAAAAAGGAGATAACCTTCAATTCATAACCAATCTAAAAATGCCTGAATTTTTAGGTTTACAGATGAGTCTGATATAATTCACTCTGCTATGATCTATTTGTGTTTATCCTTTTGATTCCAGAAATAAAATTTAAAAAATCAAGGACTAAAGGAAGTAAAAGGGGAAACAAGAAGCTGCATTATCTATAGTTGCTTAACATAGACTAAAAAAAAGATCTTTCAAGAATGAATTAACTTGCAAAAAAAAAAAAGAATGAATTAACTTGCCTAATTACAAACATGAAAAACTGACACATCAAAACATGCAGTACATTAATCAAACACCTAAACAGAAGAGTTAAAACTATAAAACTTTTAGAAAAAAATAGGGTAAAAGTTTTATGATATTGAATTTGGCAATGACTTCCTGGATATGACACCCAAAAGTACAGATACCAAAAGAACAAAGAGATAAACTGGACACATAAAATTAAAAACTGCTGTGTATCAAAGGACACTGTCAACAGAATGAACAGACTACCCATGGAATGGGAAAAAATACTGCCAAGCATATGTCTGATAAAGGATTAGTATCTAGAATATATAAGGAACTCCTATACCTCAACAACAAAAAAAACAAACAACCTAAATAAAAAATGGGCACAACACTTGTACAGACATTTCTCCAAAAGACAGACACACGGCCAAAAAGCACATAAAAACATACTCAGTATCACTAGCCATTAGTGAAATGCAAATCAAAACAACAATGAGATACCACTTCACACCCACTAGGATGGCTATTATCCAAAAAACAAAAAATGACTATTGGAAAGAATGTGGGGAAATTAGAATTCTTGTGCATTTGTGGTAAGAATGTAAAAATGGAACAGCCACTGTAGAAAACAGTATGGAATTTCTTCAAAAATTTAACCATAGAATTACCCTATCACCCAGCAATTCCACTTCTGGGTATATACCCAAAAAGAATGAAAGAAGGGACTCAAACAGGGTATTTGTATACCCACGTTCATATCAGCATTATTGCAAAAGCCAAAAGGTGGAAGCAATCCAATTAGCAATAATCGCACCTTGGATAAACTCCATTGGCTACACTGCTGTCACTGTGCAAAGCTAGGTGGAAGCAAACCAAATGTCCATCAACAGGTAAGTGGATAAATAAAGTGTGATACATACATACAATGGAATATTAATCAGCCCTAAAAAGGGATAAAATCCTGAAACATGCAACAACATGGATGACCCTTGAAGACATGCTAAGTGAAATAAGCTACACATAAAAGGACAAATATTTTATGATTCTACTTATATGAGGTTTCTAGAGTATTTCTCAAATTCAGAGAGACAAAAAATAATTTTTTGAATGGTAGATGCCAGGAGCCAAGGGTGGGGAGGAATAGGGAGTTACTATTTAATGCATACAGCTTCAGTCTGGGGAAATAAAAAATTCTGGACAGGAATAGTGATGATGGTTGCATAACAATGTGAAGGTACTTATAAAGCCACTGAACTATACACTAATACTGGTTAAAACTACCAATAATTTTTAAAATGTAATACATTTAAATAGTTTCAAGACTTAAAATACACAAAATACAAGCCCAGGCTCTAAAAAAAAAAAAAAAAAATTCAGAATTGTGTTTAAGGAACTATTCAGGGCACCTGGGTGACTCAGTTGATTGGGCGACTGCCTTCAGCTCAGGTCATGATACTGGAGTCCCCGGATCAAGTCCCAAGTTGGGCTCCCTGCTCAGCGGGGAGTCTGCTTCTCCCTCTGACCCTCCCCCCTCTCATGCTCTCTCTCTCTCTCTCTCTCCTTCTTTCTCTCAAATAAATAAAATCTTAAAAAAAAATAAGGAACTATTCAATTTTATTATAAAGTGAAGGTTCCAACTTACCATCTAGGAAATACCCCATTCTCCAAACTTGTTGTTTGGCTGCGTCGCCAACGTCGCTGGTAACTGCTGGCACAACTTCGGGTAAGTGAAGAGTTTGGAGAGGGAAATGGTGTAATAAGCAAGCTGCTGAGAGACGCTGACAAGTCAAAATAAAAACAAGTATAATGTAAGCATTTAAAAATGCGTCAATAATAACTAATCTTTTTTTTTAAGATTTTCTTTATTTGAGAGAGATAGCAAGACAGAGCACAAGCAGGGGGAGGGAAAAAGGGATAGGAGGAAGCAGGCTTTCCACTGAGCAGGGAGCATGACACGGGGGCTCGATCTCAGAACCCTGGGATCGTGGGGCGCCTGGGTGGCTCAGTCATTAAGCATCTGCATTCAGCTCAGGTCATGATCCCAGGGTCCTGGGATCGAGCCCTGCATCAGGCTCCCTGCTCCGCGGGAAGCCTGCTTTTCCCTCTCCTACTCCCCTTGCTTGTGTTCCCTCTCTCTCTGTCACATACATACATACATACATACATACATAAAAAGAACCCTGGGATCGTGACCTGAGCCCAAAGCAGACGCTTAACCGACTGAGCCACCCAGGTGCCCCAAGATAAATTTCTTTTCAACAAATTTAACAGTAGTGACTCAAATTTTCCATTTTGCTTCATGAGCTTATAAAATTTCCATTTAAAAAAATAATATCATTGTTGGAGTGAAGTCCCAGAGGACAAAAATCATATACTAATAGTGCATTGGCAAGAGACTCTGAGACATTCCCCTTTTTATTTTCTTACTCCCACCCCAACTTCAGAAGAAAGGGCTAATTTAAAACAAGCATTATCTCTTTGGCCATGAGACTGTCCCCTAGCTTAGCTGAACACTTAGTCCTTAAATTAAAAGAAGTATGATGTGATTCAGGTTTTTAAAATTATTTTATCTTTTTAAAGTTTGTATTTAAATTCCAGTTAGTTAACATACAGTATAACATTAGTTTCAGGTGTACAATATAGTGATTCAGCAGTTCCACACAACATACCTTGCTCATCACAAGTGCATGCCTTAATTCCCATCCCCTATTTAACCCATCCCCCCACCCACCTCCCTTCTGGTAACCATCAGTTAGTTCTCTGTAGTTAAGAGCCTGTTTCTTGTTTTGCTTCTCTCTCATTTTTCCCCCTTGCTCGTTTGTTTTGTTTCTTAGATTCCACATATGAGTGAAAGCATATGTGTTTGTCTTTCTCTCACTGACTTTTTTCACTTAGCTCAATACTCTGTAGCTCCATCTATATTGTTGTAAATGGAAGAGTTCATTCTTTTTTATGGCTTAGTAATATTCCACCATATAAATATACCAAATCTTCTTTATCTACTCATCAGTTGATGGATACTCGGTCTGTTTCCATAATTTGGCTACTGCAGATAATGCTGCTATAAACATGCATTGTAAACTGTATAAATGTGCATGTATCTCTCTGAATTAATATTTTTATAGTACAATTGCTACATTGCTGTGATTCATTTTAATGAAGCAGCTAGATTTTAAGAACAAAAGCTGTATTTGAAAATTAGTGTCTGAATGTCATCTGAAGGTGTTATTTAAAAGCACATCATCTTATCCCTGTCACAATGGCTAGAATCAAATAAACAAGAAATAAGTGTTGAAAAGGATATGAAGAGAAAGGATCCTCATGCACTGTTGGTGGAAATGCAAACTGGTACAGTCACTACGGAAAACAGTATGGAGATTCCTCAAAAAACTAAAAAGCGAAATACCATATGATTCAGTAATTCCACTACTGGGTGTTTACCCAAAGAAAACAAAAACACTAATCTAAAAAGATATATGCACTCCTAAGTTTACTGCAGCATTATTTACAATAGCCAAGATATGGAAGCAATCCAAGTGTCCACTGATAGATGAAGAGATAAAGAAGATGTATACAATATTAGCCAATCATAAAATAGAATGAGATTTTGCCATTTGAAACAACACAGATAGACCCAGAGGGTATGATGCTAAGTGCAGTAAGTCAGACAGAGAAAGACAAATACCATATAATTTCACTTATATGTGGAATCTAAAAAACAAACAAAAAGCAGAAAGAGACCCATTAACACAGAACAAACTGATGGTTGCCAGAGAGAAGGGGGTTGGATGGCAAGAGCAAAATGGGTAAGGGGTAGTGGGAGACAGAAGCTTCCAGTTATGGAATGAATAAGTCACAGGCATAAAAAGGACAGCACAGGGAAGAGTCAGTGGTACTGTAATATTGTTGTATGGTAGTAGATGGGAGTTACACTTGTGGTACACACAGCATAATGAGTAGAGTTGTCAAATCACTATGCTGTACATCTAAAACAGATGTAACACTGGGTGTTCAACTATACTTACAACTATACTTCAATAAAAAGAATAAAAGTAAAATAAAAGTCCCATTAACCCTTGAACATGGATTTGAAATGTGCAGGTCCACTTACACATTTTTTTTCAATAAATACAGTATAGTATTGTAAATGTATTTTCTCTTTATGATTTTCTTAACCACGTTTTTCTCTACCTTATGTTACTGTAAAAATATAGTATACAATACATATAACATATAAAATATATGTTAACTGACTGTTCATGTTATCAGTAAGGCTTCCAGTCAACAGTAGGCTATTAGCGGTTGAGTTTTTAGGAAATCAAAAGTCATATACAGACTTTCTTACTGCACGGGGTGGGGAGAGGTTTGCGCCCCTCACCCCTGCATTGTTCAAGGGTCAACTGTACTCATGAATTGCTTCTGCACAGGTAGTCAAGCCTCTGAATGTTTAGCCCCTTTCAGTAATAGTCATGACTATACCTTCTAAGATCCAAAAAGAGAAAATCTTATAGATTACTCTCTGGAGCATTCTAAGGGGTGAAAGACACATTCCAATAGAACCCATTATGATTATTAATTGCTGCAATCCCCTAATTGTGAGGATTATTCTCTTCCCAAAACCCCCTCTCTCCAGAAACTCTTTTTCTTGCCTGGAGTGTCAAAGGCTACAACCCTTTGTTTTTTCTTAGACTAGGAATCCTCTCCTTCTCTGTGTTGGATCTAGAGAGTAAAAGACATTAAGGGCTTGCTTTTGTTTGGCAGTATTTTAAATTCCCACCTTCATAATTACAACCACATACTGAAAATGTGTGAGGTAATCAAAAACAGGGAAGCACATCAGATGATATATTACTTTTGGACATCAGGAGTGAAAACGAAAAGCCTGTCATTATGAAGATCTGTTCATTTCAGTTCTCGCTCACAAATCCAATGACAAAGGGAAGAGCTTTCTTTATGTGTCATACAACTATCTGGATAGTCAATGAATTAATTCTAAACCATTTCCTTGAAAAGACCACATTTTTATCAGTATTATAAGAAAGTATTGTAAAACTCTGTAGTCTAAGACTGGATGTGTATAACTAACCTAGGTATGGCTTCAGCGAAAAATCAAATGCTAATCTAAATTTGGAAAAAACTATGTGTTACCAAATTCTGGTATTAAAAATAACCCTACTGGAAAAAGAAGAAGATACACAATTAATTTAAAAGGTGTATGTGAATTTATGGCTTGAAAAAGCCTTACAGATCTATCCAGCCAGGCCCTTCAATTTATAGCTAAAGAAAATGAAATACAGATATTAATTTATCACCTCTAAAATCTTAGGTAAAATAATAAGAACTAAATTCCTATCACAGAAGAGAAAACTAAATCTCTAGATTACATAGAAGCAATGAGTATTAGAAGAAATATACACTAGATTAGTTCCTAAGAACAAAAATACAAAATTCAATTAGAAAAGGTGAGATTAAGAGAAGCAGTTCTCAACTCTAGCTGTCCATGAGAATTAGGTATTGAGTTTTTCATTTTGTTTTGTTTTTCAAATACTGTTGCATAAGCCTTTCTCTAGACTACATGATAGTCTTGGAGTACAGTTTAGGCATGTGAAACTTTTTTTTAAACCTCTTGTTATTCTAATGCATGCCTAGGGATTACAATTCTGGTAAATTTGGACTTCCCATCTATACTCAAAACTGAATTATAAACAATTTAGACAGCAGAGCCATATAATGTGACAGTTCATATGGATAAAACACAGTGGATAAAAGTTTCTCATAATGCAATAACAATAATGCAAGCCTAAGATACTCCTTTCTTTTACGCTATCTCTGGGCCCTGACAAACACTTTTCCTTTTTTTTTTTTTTTTAAAGATTTTTTTTTTATTTGAGAGAGAGAGAGAATGAGAGATAGAAAGCACGAGAGGGAAGAGGGTCAGAGGGAGAAGCAGACTCCCTGCTGAGCAGGGAGCCCGATGTGGGACTCGATCCCAGGACTCCAGGATCATGACCTGAGCCGAAGGCAGTCGCTTAACCAACTGAGCCACCCAGGCGTCCCAAACACTTTTCCTTTTAACTGGAAAGCCCTTCTTCCATACCTTTGCCTGGATAACTCCTACTTACTTCTCAAAACACAACTCAAGTAATATCCCTCTGTAAAGCATTACTGGCGCCCTGCCCCTGGCCCAGGCTAAGTTAGGTTTCCTTTCCCTAAACCTCTCTGCACAGGTCTATCAGAACACATCACACAATGAAGGACAATTTTCCTGACTGTTCTCTCTGTAAACTCTGGGCTCCTTAAAGGTAGAATGTGAGGTTTACTTTTTTTTTTCTTTTAATCTCTTGCATGTTTCAATAAAGGTTTGTTAGTCCATATTTTGGAGTCCATATTTGAAAGCAATATATATATAGCATTGGTTCAAAATGCCTAAGCTTTTCTGGGCAAGAGACAGTCTGACAACTTAAAACTCCAGTTAAGAGTAAGCAGATATAAGCACACGTGTTTTTTCTACTACGCCATTTAAGGCATCTCTTGAGCAAGAGTTTTTCTTGTACTGGCTGAGTCTAAGCCAGTGTCCATTCATCTGGGCCATACTTCACCAGGCACATGTAACAGTAAACATGATCTCTGTCATAACAATTCTCTTATAAGGCTAGTATCAATACTAACAAACTGTGTACATGAAATTGGATGATAAAGGAAAAAATAAAAATCATTGTTGGCTAACAGTGATCTCGTAAGAAAACCAGATGAACACATGAACCTGGCATTACCAGAGCGTGCTATGCCACTGTCTCTGTCTTCATTCAGCTCTCTTCCAGGCATGTCCATTGGGTTGCTGTGAACTGTGAATTAAGACAAAACTGTCAGTTAAAGCATATAATGCTATTCAGGGTGACGTTGCTTCTTCTATATAGCAAATGAAATCATGCTCATCTCACTGCATTCCTTTATTTTTTTCAATAGCATGGCACAAACCCAACACCAAGAGCTATTACTCAGTTGAACAAGCTTTGAGATCTAGGTGAAGATTGACATATAATATGAAAATATGATATAATATCTAAAGAAGCAAGGGATGACTAAAAGGAAGATACTCACAATACACTACTAAATGACTAAAAAGCATGCTACTGAACAATAAGAATGATTCCTGCAGGCAAATAATGGGTATATGATGGTTCACTTTACTATTCTGCCAATATTAATGTATCTTTAAAAATTCCTCAAAATAAAAATTTTAAGAAAAGTTTGAATAATATGATCCAAATTAAATTTTGTGTTTTTTTAGAAAGGTTAATTCTAGCTGACACAATGGCTAATATATATTTTTTGCCCATTTTTCATATTTTTCAAATTTTCTGTAATAAATATGTATTGTTCCTATCTCATATTTGTAAGGAAAGTATATATTAATTAAAACAAAAAGTTAGATACAACTCCCTGGATATAAGGCATAAACACACTCTATAATCATCAATTTAATTACATAAATACACTCACATATGCCTTTTACAGGTCAATATAGTGGTGCTTGTTCATCTAAATCTTAGCTCTAAGAGAAATCGTTCTTATGGAATAACATAGATCAGAAATCTTAAAATAATAACAGAGGACATTTTCTGCAATTGGTGAACTATGAGTACACAAAAGCTCCTCAGCCATGGAAACAAGAGTGTGTCACATGAGAAATTCTAGCTGGTATTATAAGAAATAATGTTCATACTAAAATTTGGTTTAGGATTCTAAAGTTAAAATCATTATTTTATAATGAGATAAATAACAAACTGAAATTTCATGAAAATGTCAATTCTACTGATAACTGAAAATTTCTTGAAAGTCTTAAGAACATACTCAGTAGAAAGGAATTAAGTTATTATACTTGCTAAACAATGTTTTCTTAACCACACCCTCCCCAAATGCATTTATCTGCTCTCTTGTTTCCACAGCTTAACTACAGATTCTAGCCACTGGAGCAAACCAACTAGTCTACCCACACAGCACATTGCAAACCTGCAAAGAAAGAGGCGCTCCTGATCAGGCGGAGCGGACCCTGTTCAGAGAATGCCCGCCTGGGGCTGCAGAACTGTGAAAGACCTACATGGCAAAAACGTAAAATATATATGAAAGAGGGCTGTTAGAGAAGCCACGAAGCGTCAGGAATAAAGGGTGAGCTTAGGCAGCACAAATGCAGACCAACAGATATGGATAGAAGCTTTTAAACTGAATAAGAATAATTCAAGCTGGCTTCCCTTCTGTAAAACAGGAGGGTTTCTCTCTGGTCATAGCTTATGTCAAACAACAATTTCGTACCTACTTACTAATAAATCTGTATATAATAATAAAGATAACCTTCCACTATACAAGGTAAAAGCTATTTCAAATGTTCAATCCTTTCTAACCTAAAACAGTGCTTTTAAAGATTCAAAAAAAGCACAGTAATGTTATCTAAATAATTTGACATTTGCCAAATAAATTTATCTTTTAAAAAGTCAGGTTTGTTTGTTTTTTTTTTTAAGATTTTATTTATTTGAGAGAGCCCGTGCACGAGAGAGCACAACAGAGAGACAGAGAGAGAGAGAAAATGAGAGACAAAGCATGAGCTGGGGGTGGGGGACAGAGGAAGAGAGAAAAGCAGACTCCCGGCTGAGCATGGAGCCCACAGTGGGGCTCGATCCCAGGACCCTGGGACCATGACCTGAGTTGAAGGCAGACACTTAACCGACTGAACCACCCAGCTACCCCAAAAAGTCAGTTTTAAGATTACAGCATTCTCCTGCCACTGCAGTAAAGAGAAAAAAACCTAAGTGCTTGGCTGAGAAAAGAGGACACAGCATATAACAAAGAGCAGAAAAGGGATCTACTGACAAATAGGTAGGAAACTTGTTTTTTCTAACCTGGTGAAGTTACAAAGTAACTAACTTTGGAAGAAAGCAAAGTTCCTAAACCAATGGTCAGCCACAATGGAAGCAGGAACACCAACATAACCCATCAGGGCCAGACTCCCAGCTGTCCAGAAAATATGGCTGCCACACACTGGACCAAACAGAGAGTCTGAAGACCCAAAGGGGCAACATTATAGCCTAGAAGCAAGCAGCTGGGTTGCCTGCTATGCTTAATCAAGATGGCCTGAAGAACCACCTAGGAGGTTACCCAGGATAGAATAGAGGCTTTGTTTTATCAAGTGACAAATGTATTTTTCAAATTGCTAATGGATATTTTTCTATAACAAGAATTTTTCTTTTTTTAAAGATTTATTTATTTGAGAGAGAGAGAATGAGAGATAGAGAGCATGAGAGGGAGGAGGATCAGAGGGAGAAGCAGACTCCCTGCCGAGCAGGGAGCCCGACGTGGGACTCGATCCCAGGACTCCAGGATCATGACCTGAGCCGAAGGGAGTCGCTTAACCAACTGAGCCACCCAGGCGCCCCAATTTCTAAAATTATAGTGCATTTGCAGTGATCTTTCTGTGTTTCAACTGTTCAGCTCTTTCTTCAATTCTCTCTAGCAACTTCAAAACTTACCTACTCTCTTTAAACTCCTTCCCTACCTACCTCCTTCCTTACTTTCAGGATATGACTGTCTCCCACATATGCATGTGTGTACACAAAATTTACCAGATAGGAACTCTCCTGTTTCCTACCACCTTGTCTCCAAACTTAATCAAATTCTGGCCCACCTGCCTCCTTCCTGCTAGAGTTAGGAACCCACTCCTCCCTCCCTTCCAAAGCTAATTCTGTGTCAGCTAGGACCTTCAAAAATCTCACTTTACCACTTCTTTCTCTACCCTTACCCTCCTTTTAACCTCCTATTCCATCAACATTTAAACACAGTCAAAACTAGTGGTGCCTGGGTGGCTCAGTTAAGCCTCCGACTCCTGATTTCGGCTCAGGTCATGATCTCAGGGTTGTGAGATCAAGTCCCGCATCAGGCTCCAGGCTGAGCTTGGAGCCTCAAGATTGTCTCTCTCCCTGCCCCCACTTCTCAAAAAAATAAAACAAAAAAATTATTTAAAAAAGCACAGTCAAAACTATTCTCTCTATATATCTAACCTTATATAGTTCAATAGTTTTCAAATGTGGTCTAAAGACTCCTTGGGGTCCTTCCAACCCTTTCAGGGGTCTGTATAAAACTGTATATTCTTTTTTAAAGATTTTATTTATTTATTTGACAGAGAGAGACACAGCGAGAGAGGGAACACAAGCAGGGGGAGTGGGAGAGGGAGAGGCAGGCTTCCCGTGGAGCAGAGAGCCCGATGTGGGCCCGGGATCATGACCTGAGCGGAAGGCAGACACTTAATGACTGAGCCACCCAGGCGCCCCTGAAAAACTGTATTTTCTTAATAAACTTCAACCAAAACAACATAGTACGAGAGAATGAACGCAGACGCAGATATGAGGATTAAGTTGTATTCTATTAAACCAAAAATGAAGGAGTTTTGCAAAAATGTAAAACAATGCCACTCTCCTCATTAAGTTTTTTTCATGGAAAATAGTCATTTCATAACATGTTATTTATATTAACATGAAAAAAGTTTGTTTTTTTAATGACTTAATAAATTTTAAAATGTTGTTTTAATTTTTAATATATCATATATCAATAAAGGTAACCCACATAAACACAAACTCTCTGTGTTCCTCAATAATTTCTAAGTGCGTAAAAGGGTCCTGAGACCAAAAAGAACCACTGCTTAAATCTTGGAAGAAAGAATGACCTCTGAGTCCCTCCTCAACTCTGGCTTCTATTCTCTCCACTGAAACTGTGCACATAGGCCACCAAAAGCCTTCCTACTGATTAATGCAGTCCATACTCTTATATTATCTTATTATATATTTGATGCTGACTAAATTACACTTTGAACTTTCCCCCACAGTTCCCAATGATTACACACTAGGTTTTTTTCTTAATCCTCTTGTGTGCTTCTCTTCACCTACTCCTTCCCTCTTTAAGCCAGCATTCCCCAGGATTTTATCCTCAACAACCTTTCCTTCTCATTAACATTTCCTAGGTCACCTCAGTCATTCTTACACTTTCATTTATCATTTATAAGCTAATGCTTCACAAATCCATGGTAGATACAGCTAACTGTCTAAAAAAGAACTGTGTTCTCCCTTCTATTTTATCAAGTAGTTTCTGAGAAGTTACCCAGCTAGGGATTTTATTTCTCAAATCTCCTTATATTATAGGTGAAGCCATGTGATTAGTTACCACTAACAGAATGTGAACAAAACTGATATATGTCATGTTCAGACTGAGGTTGGTTATGAAATGGATGTGCCTTTTCAATACTCAATTCCTTTCCACTGGCTTCGTGCAGCTGAGCACAACCTTGGAAACCACATGTTGAAGAAGGCAGAACTCCAAGAAGGAAGGAGACTGGACCTCTGAAACACTGTTTGGAGAAAAACTGTTTATCAATGAGGAACACCTTTTGAACTTCACATGGCTGGAAAAAAAAAAAAAAACTCTACTGCTTTAAAATTATTACACACTCACTAATTTTTATGTTACAGCACCTACCACTACATCTACTAACGAACTATAATGGATATCTTTACTTGAATAACCAACCAATACTTCCATTCCAACATACATAAACCTAAAGTCACCAATTCCTAATTTGTTCTGTTCCTTCTAATGAATGGCACCAATATCCAATCAATTACACAAACAGACAGCAAAGTGCCACACATGATTCCTCCTTTCTCCTCCCTTCTTCCATCTAATTTCCAAGTCCTGTCCATTCTATTTCCCATAATGAACGTCTCAACAACTCTCTGTCCTCACTGACAGTCTTATTCTAGGTCTCCAGTATCTGTCACTTGGATTATCAGGACGCTTCTAATACAGATGTTTTCCTCAATCCCATTGGTTCACCTGAATCCTTTTCCACTGCCATCAGAATACTCTTTTGTAGAGATAAAGCTAATCTGATCATATTTCTCTATTCTGACTCCTTTGTGGTCACCTTCAGAATGCACCGCAAAGATCTCTAGCTATAAGGAGTATAATGGACTAAGTACCCCAAGCTGATGTGTTCTGACATCTGTTGTGATGTTTGTGCAAGGCCACATATCCCATAGGCTGCTCCTAGCCAGGGACTGATCACAGCAGAAATAGTAAGGCAGACACATTTTGGCAACACATGTAACAACAAACTTTGATTTAAATACTTGTCAATGGCCTTACCAAACCTTCCATGGGTTGCATGGTAGGATAGGACACTTCCATTCAATCTTCTCTCTTTCATTTGGGGTCAGACTTGCATCACAATCTGAGGGCTCTCTTGACCTTTCCCAGCTCCCTCCTCATTTTCTCTTACATTGTCATTTCTCCTAATATTATCCTTGCATGTTTAATCGTGTCTTAAAAACAGGTAGAGGACCCAAACTAACACACTCTCACTACTACCCAACTGCTTAAAGCCTAAAGCACCCTTTGTCATCAACTTCCTACTCACTTTTTTCTTTTAACTCTCTTTACTCCTATTCTTTGCTCCATCAACACTGATTTATTCGCCTTCTTTCCTCATGCTATCATCTCTTGCTCCTAGGTCTGTGCACACACTTTTTCCTAGAATGTTTCTGTCCCCAAACACAGGGCTAATCCTTCAAGGTTAGGCCTCACTTCTTCAAGAAAGTCTGAGACTCTCCAGGACTGGATTAGGGACTCTTCCTCATTTCTATCACACCACGCTCTTTAGCATGTCCAAGAATTAACTGCACTCTACTATAACTGTTGTATTACTTGTGTGATTCCCACTAACAATTGTATTACTTGTGTGATTCCCACTGTTGAGGCAGGAAGTTGTCTGCTTCACCACTGCACCCTCAGGGCCTAGCAGAGTGCTTAGCATAGAAGAGGTGCTTGAGAAATATTTGCTGATTAACTGGAAATGTAAAGAAAATAAGAAATGGTACTCAAATATCCTTGATTCACAATTACAAACGTGCAAGTAAAAGCCACTCGTTATTTAAAGTCTACGCTTTTTTTTTAAAGTCTACACTTTTTGAATGGATTAATTTCCTATCCTGTATTAAAACAGAGATGAGTGCATCTAGTATCCATAAGGTAATCTACTATTTAAATTACTATTAATTTACCATTTTAAGTGATAACGGATTTGTATTATTGAAATAAATAGCTTTTAATTAACCTCTTGAGCTTTGAAAAGTATCAAATTATAAAGAAAAACGATTCAGTTATCTCCTTGTCACATTTTTACTTTATTAAAACCAATAAAATAACTAATCATTTGAGTTATGAAAAAGCAGTATTATTTTTCTTAAAAATGTACAAACTTTCTTTTTTAAAAAGACTTACTTATTTTGAGAGAGAGAGGAAGAGCATGCAAGCAGGGGGAGGGGCAGAGAGAATCTCAAGCAGACTCACCAATGAGCACAGAGCCCAACACGGGACTTGATCTCACAATCGTGAGATCCTGACCTGAGCCGAAATCAAGAGTTGGACACTTAACAAACTGAGCCACCCAGGCACCCCAAAATATGCAAACTTTCTAAAGTACATGCCTGACACTGTAACTAGCCCATACCACTTGCTGAATAAATGGTTGTTCGTTTGAATGAATATAAATTATAAAAAATAATAGAATGCAATACGGTTCAAGTTGGAAGAAAAATGGTTCCCTGCTTGTATATATAACTAATATTTACTAAAATCAGTTTGAAATAAAAATTCTCACTAAATAAAGAAAAAGAGAAGTATTTATCCTAGTCTAATTGTTGTCACGTTCTGGCATGTTACAGTTATTTGCGTACCAGGAATATGACCAGCATCAATTTAGTTTAGCCTTGTAGGGTAAAACAAATGACTAGAAATTTTAGGAACAGTTTGACACTTCAAAATGTTGAACTTAAATAATAACAACAATTAACTAAGCTGTTATTTTAATAAATCTTTAAAGGAATATCAAATTTGAATATCTGCTTATCTATCTGAATTCAGGTCACAAAAATGAGCACCATTTTAAAATTACTTTTATGGTTAGGGAAGAGAGAAGGGAGAAAGTGTAATACCAGTCTTCTTCAGCTGAAATATTAAAAAAGGCTGGTAAGGACTTTTTATATCAATGACAGTGCCTTTCAAAGATGCATCAAAGTTAAAAACAAGAAACAAACCAGATATATCTTCAGCAGTTCTTTTTCAGATATAAAATAAATATTATGTTCAAATATACAAAAAGTGTGTTTTTCAAATAACACCAATGTTATACATACTTCCAATTTAAATTCCTTTTCCACTTTTAGATGTCAAACTCTGTGGTCTTATTAAAAGATCTACATTATTAAGAAAGAACTGCAAATTCTTGTTATACTGTTAACCTATATAAAACTTGTAAAACCAAAGGAACCATTTACCTATATTTCCAAGTAGTCCATTCATAACTGTGTTATTACAATCAGCCTTTAACGTACTGTTGTCCTGATTGATGAATTCAAGACTGTCTTGCAGCCTAAAGTGGGAAAAGAAACAATAAATTGCAAATTCATTTTATGCTCTTTATGGCAATTCTTTGCATATCTCAATGAAATTTTAAGTATAAAACTGTTTTTTTTTTAAGTTTTAAGTATTCTTCTTAGTTTATAGCACTGACTCAGGGGTTGGCAACCCCTGAGGCCTAAATCCAGCCTGCTGGCTGTTTTTATAAATAAAGTTTTATTGGAAAACAGCCATGCTATGTATACAGCCATGTATGTACTGTATATGGCTGCTTTAATGCTACAATGGTAGAGCTGAGAAACCAGACATACTGCCTCGCCCACAAAGCCAAAATTATTTACTATTTAGAACTTTACAGAAAAAGGTTACTGACCCTAATTTAAATTGTAAAGGCTTTCCCTCATATTTTGGACCTGAAATTATTTTCTAAACTACTGGCAGGAAAAGAAGAAAAAAAAAAAGACAAGACCAAAATCAACGTATCATTAGTTCACACATTATAAATGAATTATATCACTCCTGTTAGTAAATTATTCAAAATAACAAAAATAAAATTACTTTATGCTTTTAGTACAAAGTATCTTCCTAGGGATTCTAAAAACCATCAGTAAAAAATTAGAAAAGATGAAGATACTGAGAGGAATCAGTATCTAGAATCAGAGATTCCAATGTAGGATCTCTAATTTCTATTTTAGTATTAAACTCTTGAAAATTAGCACTTTTTAACATCAGTATTTTTTAAGCATCCATAATACTGTGAAAAAATATCTCTCCCCTTTCCTTCCTTCCTAAAAGAAAAGTTAATAAAGAGCTATAAGTATTAGAACCTTAGCTAATAAAACCCCTGATAGGTCTTTTTGGAGCATTTACAATTAATGGAACCCTTGAGAATTTTTCTAGTTTTGAGTAGCCTCCTTGCAACCTCTCCTGCTGCTTTTGACTTTGGGTAACCCCACAGATTCTGGCTAGCCAGAGTTCTGATCTGGGCCCTGAAGTCCGTCACTGGAATCCACTAACACCTCACCCTAACCCTAGTCCTTCATTTACTAAGTTCTGGCATGTAGCCCATGATTCTAATATCAGGCCTGGCCTTGTTTCAGCTTCACATTTCTAATCTTGGCATTAACCCTTGTGGTAATCTTGTGCCCCACCATGGGTGACCTAGGCCACTCCTGATTGCAGAGTAAATTCTGCAAGGGATCTGAAAACTGAAGAGCACAATATACAGATGCTAACTCAGCATGGCATACAAAATGGAAAATCAGTATCTCATCCTAACATGGGAATGTTGTCAACATTTTACTTCCATATATAGCTTCTAGAAGCAAATTAGAGAAAGAGAAAGCACATTTTCCTATCCTTCAACTAAACTCAAATGAGAAGTAATCTGGACTCCATACAGAGAGCAGTTGAATTAAAAAAAATAACACCCAACAATATGCTGCCTACAAGAGACTCAGTTCAGCTTTAAGAATACATATAGGCTCAATGTGAAGGAATAGAAAAAGATAATCCATGTAAATGGAAATTAAAGAAGAGCAGAGAAAGCTATACTTATATCAGAAAAAATAGACTTCAAGCCAAAAACAGTAACAAGAGAGAAAAATGGTCATATAATTCGAGGAGCAATTCATCAAGAAGACATAGCATGTAACAATCATAAATACAAATGCACTCAACATCAGAGCACCTAAACATATTAAGCAAACACTGACATATCTAAAGAGACAACAGTGCAATAATTAGTAAAGGACTTTAACATTCTACTTTCAACAATGAACAGATCATCCAGACAGAAAGTCAACAAAGAAATGTTGGACTTGAACCATACCTTACACCAAATGGAACTAACAGATAAATACATATAGAGATATATCCAAGAGTAGCAGAATACCATCCTTCTCAAGTGGACATGGAATATTTTCTAATACATATCACATGATAGGTCACAAAACAAGTGTTAGTAAATTTGAGAAGATTGAAATCACACCAAGTATCTTTTCTGACCAGAATGGTATAATACTAAAAATCAGTAACAAAAGGAGAGCTGGACAGTTCACAAATATGTGGAGATTAAACAACATGATCCTCAACAACCAATGAGTCAAAGAAATCAAAAGGAAAATCAAGAAATACCTTGAAACAAATAAAAATGGAAGCACAGCATATCAAAACCTGTGAGATGTTACAAAAGCAGTTCAAAGAGGGAAGTGATAGCAATAAATGTCTACAGTAAGAAGCCAAAAAGATCTCAAATGAATGACGTTGAATTACACCTCAAAAAACGAGGAAAACAACAAAGCCCACAGTTAGTTAGTTAGGAAGGAAGGAAATAAAGATCAATGGGAGAATAAATGAAATAGAAAAAAGAAAAATAACACTGAAGATCGATGAAACTAAGAGCTGGTTTTCTGAAGAGACAAAATCAACAAACCTTTAGCTAACTCAGAAAAAAAAAAGAGAAGACTTGAATAAATGAAATCAAAAACAAAAGAGACATTACATCTGATACCATACAAATAAAAAGGATCATGAGACCATTATAAACAGTTACACATCAACAAAACAGATAATCTGTAAGAAATGGATAAATTCCTAGAAACATACAACCTACCAAGAATGAATCATGAAGAAATAAAAAATCTGAACAGACCAATAATGAGTAAGGAAAATCAATCATTAATCAAAAACCTCCCAACACAGAAAAGTCAAGAGGACCAGATGGTTTCCTTGGTAAATTCTACCAAACATGTAAAGAAGAATTAATGCCAATTCTACTCAAATTGTTCCAAAAATCAAAGAAGGAACAAACTCAAACTCATCTTACAAGGCCAGCATTACCCTGACACCAAGGCCAGATAAGGACATTATAAGAAAATTACAGATCACTTCTCCTGAATATTATAAATGCAAAAATTCTCCATAAAATATTAACAAACCAAATTCAACAGAACATTAGAAGATCATTCAATATGATCAAGTGGGATTTATCAGTGGACTGCAAGGATGCTTCAATAGACACAAAGCAATAAATGAGAATTACCACATTAAAAGAATGAAAGATAAAAATCACATGATTATGTCAACAGATGCAGAAAATGCATATGACCGGGGTGCCTGGGTGGCTCAGTCGGTTAAGTGTCTGCCTTCAGCTCAGGTCATGACCCTGGGGTCCTGGGAAGGAGCCCTGCATTGGGTTCCCTGCTCTGCGGGGAGCCTGATTCTCCCTCTCCTCCCCACTCGTGCTCTCTGTCACTATCTCTGTCTCTCTCTCTCAAATAAATAAAAATCTTTGAAAGAAAGAAAGAAAGAAAGAAAGAAAGAAAGAAAGAAAGAAAGAAAGAAAGAAAAAAGAAAGAAAGAAAAAGAGAGAAAGAGAGAGAGAAAAAGCATATGACAAAAGACATCTTTCCATGAAAAAAACCCTCAAAAAGTAGGTTGGAAGAACAAATATTGTTAAAATGTCCATATTACCCAAAGTCATCTATAGATTCAATGCAAGTCTTATCAAAATTTCAATGGCATTTCTCCAAGAAATAAGAAAACAATCCTAAAATTTGTTCGGAGCTACAAAAGACCGTTAATAGCCAAAGCAATCCTAAGAAAAACTATACTACAACGTTAACATAATCAAACAGTATAGTACTGGCATAAAAATAGACACACAAACCAATGGAACAGAATTCAAGAGTCTAGAAAAAAAACCCTGTATATACAGTCAACTAATATTTGATAAGGGACATTTAACTGGGAAAGGATAGTGCCTTCAATAAATAATGATGGGAAAACTGGATAACCACATGCAGATGAATGAAATTAGAACCCTATCTTACACCACTCACAAAAACGAACTCAAAATTGATTAAAGATATAAACAAAAGACCCCAAAACTGCAAATCTCCTAGAAGAAACCACAGGGTTTAAAAAGCTCCTTGACAATGGTCATAGCAGCAGTTTCCTAGATATGACACAAACAGCACAAGCAACAAAAGCAAAAATAAGTAAATGGGAATACATCACACTAAAAAGCCTCTACACAGCAAATAAACAACTGACAAAATAAAAAGGCAAACTATGGAATGGTAAAAAATATTTGCAAATCCTTTATCTGATAAAGGGTTAATATCCAAAATATAAAAATAATTCATACAAATCAGTAGCAAAAAACAAAGAACCTGACTAAAAACTTAATACTTCCTCTGAATATTCAGAAGAATTGAATAGACAATTTTCCAAAGAAGACATGCAAATGGCTAAGAGGTACATGAAGAGGTGCTCAACATCACTAATCATCAGGGAAATGCAAATCAAACCATAACAAGGTATCACCTCTCACCTTTTATAATAGCTAACATCAAAAAAGACAAGAGATTATCAAGCGGTGGACAGGGTATTGAGAAAAGGGAATGCTTCTGCACTGCTGGTGGGAATATAAATTGAGGCAGCCACTGTGAAAACAGTATGAAGTTCTTCAAAAAATTAAAAATAGAACTACCGTATGATCCAGGAATCCCACTTTTGGATATATATCCGAAGGAACTAAAATGAGGATCTCAGAGATATCTGCACTCAGGTGTTCACTGTGGCATTAGTGACAACGATCCATAAATGGAGACAAACTGAGTGTCTATAAACAGATGAATGGATAAAATGTCACACACACACACACACACACACACACAGAAGAATATTATTTGACCATGAGAAAAGGGAATCCTGCCATTTGCGACAATCTGAATGAACCTTAAGGGTGTTATGCTAAGTGAAATAAGTCAGAGAGAGACAAACACTGTATAGTATCACTTACATGTGCAATATAAAAAACTGAACACAGAGAAACAGAAACCAGGGTGGTGGTTACCAGGGGTTGAGAGTGGGGGAAATGGGGAGATAACAGTCAAAGGGTACAAACATCAGTTATAGAGTTATTAAGTTCTGAGATCTAACGTATAGCATGCTGACTATAGCTAATAATACTGTTATTTTATATACTTGAAAGTTGCTAAGAGAGTAAATCTTAACTGTTCTCACCACAAAAAAGAAATGGTAATTTTGACAGGATGGAGGTGTTAGCTAATGCTATGGTGGTAATCATTTTGTAATATATAAATGTATCAAATAAATGTGTTGTACACATTAAATTTACACAATGTTGGATGTCAATTATATCTCATTAAAGCTAGAAGAAAAAAGCCTGACCTCCATAAACTTTCAAACTTAAGAGATGGAAGAAAATCTCAATTTAAGCTGCAACCCTGAGAACAATCTGTTAGTTTTCACACTTTGCACATCCTAAATAATCCATTTCTCCCAGCATTCAAAATCACTTACGTATTGAGACTTCCACAGATACTGCTGCCGGTCCGTGCAGTAAAAACTTTGCTGAGCATAAGTTGTGGAGGGGAACTATGAAGAAAAAGAAAGGGACAGAGAGAGAGATCAAAACTAAAACATAAAGAACTTCTCAATTTATTACAAATAAAAATGTATATGGGCGCCTGGGTGTCTTAGTTGGTTAAGTGTTGGACTCTGAATTTTGGCTCAGGTCATGGTCTCAGGGTTGCGAGATCAAGCCCCGTGTCAGGCTGCATGCTGTGCATGGAGCCTGCTTAAGATTCTCTCTCTCCCAGGGGCGCCTGGGTGGCTCAGTCGTTAAGCATCTGCCTTCAGCTCAGGCCATGGTCCCAGGGTCCCGGGATGGAGCCCCGCATCGGGCTCCCTGCTCAGCGGGAAGCCTGCTTCTCCCTCCTCCCACTCCCCCTGCTTGTGTTCCCTCTCTCGCTGTGTCTCTCTCTGTCAAATAAATAAATAAAATCTTAAAAAAAAAAAAAGATTCTCTCTCTCCCTCTCCCTGTTCCCACCCCCCCCACCAAAATAAGTATAAATCACAAAGATTTCATTGCATAGTTACAACAGTCATGAAGTAGCATGAAACCCATAAAACACCATAAATCTGACATGCTCAATCTGTGTGAAGACTACAGGAAATTCTCCCATCTTTAAAAATTACATATTCTAAAATGGATTATGAAAAATCAGAAAAACCCTCACCGGATCTGATGAATTTTTAAGGTAGACCCTTTATAGCTCATTGCTACTGAGCCAAACATCATCTCTCCAAGCATATTGGCATCAGAAGAGCACCGAGAACCCTAAAAAATAACCATAACATTAATAAAACTGCAAAATTTAAAACCTATTTCAAATATTGAATTTTACTGAAAATTCCTTTGCTACAGTTATTCTACATACACTTTTTTAAAAAGTGACTCTACATTGTATACACTGTTCTATAGCTTGATTTTCTTCATTTCACAATGTGTTACAGATCTAACCATACTGTTATACAAAGACTCCTTTTGAAGAGCTGCATAGTATTCTACTGTATGAAAATACCACAGTTCACCTTACTGCTGGACATTCAGGTTACTTCCAGGTTTTTATAATACTTAATGCTTAAATGAACATTGTTAACCACATCTTTTGCATATGCAATGTTTCTCCAGGGCAGGAAATAAGAAACAGAACTCACTAAACATGCAGAATAGTTTTTACCACTCCTGTGCAAAAGAGGTATCTATAAACATGGTAATTTATATCTATTTTGTACTTTTTAAAAGGACTTATTTAAAACATTACAATGTCTTGCTCTCAAAAGAACTCCAATTAAAAGTTATTCCTTTCCATTATTCTTTAAATGTCTCTGTCATCATATGAGTCAGAAAAAAAGTAAAATTCAACTCATCCATTTGATTACTAAGTAGATACTGTGGTAAATATCACTAATTACCCATAAAATATCTTATTCTTTACTTCTGAAGTTTAATTTGTTTCAGGGCAGCAATGTTGCCCTCCCCCCGGGCAAATGCATTTCACAGCCTCCCTTGTAGACAAATTGTGAGCTGGTTTCTACATCCCAAAGGTTAAACTAATGGTTGGAGTAGCACTTTCAGAAGTTATGCATTTATATGCATTCAACAAAGGCCTGGTCAATGAGATATAAATGGAAGTCACTGGAGATGGGAGATGCCATATTAGGACCACAAGGCAATAATTACACATTAACTCTAGCTAACTAGAAAGATAAAGATGCCTTGGTTTGTAAAGCCGTCTTGAAACCCATGTATCATACCTAGACGGCCTTTCAGACTTGTCACGTGAACAAAATAATCCCTAGGAATAATGCAATTCCTAACTTAACACAGTTATATAATAAAACAACTGATGAGGAAGAGGACCTAAATAACTATCTAAGATAATAACTGAGTATTATTCACAAATTTCACTAAGCCATTCCATCATAAAAAATAAAAAATTAGGAGTTTTAAAAAATATTTAAAAGACTCTTCTGATGATAACAAAGTGTTGAAGACCCCCATTTTACATGTGGAGCCCAGGGAATATATCTGTACACTATTTTTATTTTTATGTGATTCTTCTACTCTTCTGCTTATTTAATGCCCATCTGGGTTTTAAAAAAACTATATATTTACATTGTTAGCTTTCTTAAAAAGGCATCTTTGAATAGCAATCTCATTATATGTAACTATTCTGTATCAGTTTTTTTTATATATATTCATTTACATATTATTTTTTCTCTCTTAGGTATTATAGTCTTAATCTTGTTTTAATAAAGACACAAAGCCAATGCTTAAGAAAAAAATCACTTCTGATATACCTACTTACAAAAATAACTCATCTAGGGATCTGATTAAGAAAAAATTTTTATTTCAAAACACAAAGGTTTGGGTACTAAAAACAACATTTAGGAACAGAGCGAATAATTCTTAAATTTTAATGATCAAGTGCGAAGGTTTTTTTTTTTTAAGCTCAATGCCAATCTTCAAAACTATTATGAATTCAAATATCAAAGCATTTACAGATTTTCCTACTAAAACTGGAAAAGAGTCCTCAAAAAGCAAAATATAGTAAAAATAAGTTCATGTTTAAATTTTATTAGACCATATAGTTTGCCAGTAAAGGTTATCCTTGCCTGCTCTAATACATATCAAACAGTTATCATGAATGTCACTGGCATGTTATATATTTTTATAAAACATAATCTATAATAAACGTTATAATTTAAAAAGTACTATTATCTTTCATGCTTTTTTTAAATAAGGCCCTTATTTAAAAGGTCAATTTTTTAAGTACCTATTGCTAGAAGCTATTAATCTGTAATAATCTGTGTAGACCAAAGATAATGTTCTAGTTACCCAGAATTACATTTTATCAAGTGTAGTGAACTATATGCTACAATAATTCAATGTCTCTTGCTAAAAAAGCAGATTTCCAGGACCATACTGAGCCTATATCAGAGTATCTGGGCACATAGCCTGGGAATATGAACTTTAAAAAAGAAAATCTCTAGGGATCTTGATGCAACATGAGGGTGCAATCACTCAATGCTTCAGGGTTTCTACAATCTGGATCCATGTGCTAATATTCATTTTTAACTGCATTATATTAGGCAGAAATGCAAGTTTACACAATTCATCAAATCAGCAAACACCCAACCTGGTATAAGTATGATGATGTCACATAGCATAACGCTATTAGGAACTTACTAAGGTATCATGCTTAAGCTGGAGGAGAAACAGGGGAAGACCCCTGGGGCAACTATATAGTACCTCCTAGTATCTGGATTTTAAACACTTCAGAGCTCTTTCATATACACTGTCACATTTACATGATAGAAGGGTCACTTCCCATCCAAACACAATTACCTAATTACAAATAATTTAAAGACCCAGAACTCCATGTTGATATTTCTAAATATAAAATAATTGTGATTCATTCATGCAAACTTGGATGATACAAATAAATTCACATAGATGACATTCACTTGGTATGAAGCCAAACACTTAATCTTAATGTAAAATATAACAAGTTTATACAGAAGTTCCCATTAGGTACTAATTTGTTTAACTTTGTATTTTAAAAGAGTCAGATTACTTCTGAAATATATAAATGTCCATTTCTGCATGTGTATACTTCCAATCATACTTTAATTTCATACTACAGCCAAACTGTATTATTAGTTTATATTTATATTCGTATTTCAATAATGTAGAAGTATCTAAAATAAATTATTCTGGTAGCCCAAAATATCTGATTTGGGAAATAAAAGGGAGAAACTACCCCTTGCTACCTTATGCCCATAGTTCTCTGAACTTCTCCTAAGATTTATCAAAATGCATAAACTTACTTATTTAATTACCTGCCTCCCCAGTAAGTTAAGGACTAGTTCCTGTTATATCCCCAGTCCCTAGGATAGTGCATAACACACTGTAGGTACTCAAAAGTAGTCATGAGTGAATGAATGAATGAATAAATGACATCAATGATCTTACTTGGTACTTAGAACACTGGTCTTTTACATCAGAAGGCGAAGTCACAGAACTATCCAGCGAGGAAGAACTGTCTCCTCCAGGTTTCAGTTGGCAGCATTTCCCAAACACTTTTACTTGAGCATCACTACAGAGTTTCTGAAATAGAGATATTATGCCCATTCATATTATAAAAGACTTTTCATCATATACAAGTTTAATTATAGTATAAAAACCTTTGAAAAAACCAAGTATGAGATAATTTAAAATAATATAACCTTGGTAAAATGATTTGCATTTTACTGCATTTTCTCCAGTACTGTTTTCCATTCTTGTGGAGTTTGTATTGTGCTTTTCTCACCAAGATTATCAAATCATAGAATTTTTCTATATTATTATGGTCTACAACAATGTTCATTACTAGTGACATAATATATTACAGCAGTTTTCAAATTATTTGCTCTCAAACCCCCTTTTAGGCCTTTTGTTTGTGTGAGTTATATCTATCAATATTCTCCCATATAAGAAATTAAAATGGAGAAACTTTAAAATATTAACTCACTTAAATATAACAATACACACATTATAGGTTAACATTAAGTAACATATTTTTATGAAAAAAACTTTTTTCATTAAGTAACATTAACATATTTTTATGAAAAAAACTATGGAGAGATGTAGGGATGGGAGAAATGCAAATGAAGCTTTTATATTTTACTAAATGTGTGTGTCACTACATATATGAACATATGTTTATTATTTCGAAATGAGAATGTATTCATGTATTGAACAGTTAAATTTTTAATAACAGCTGAGTTTAGGACCAGAAGGCTGTACAGTGGTGTAGTATGGAAGAATCACGTATTTCTATTTCTTTTTCTCTATGCTCTTGCTTTCCTCCTAATTTCCCCACAGGTTCTAGAGCTTTCACTGCTCACAACTACTGAAGTTGCAATCCACCAAGGACTTTGATACTCCTAAAAGTATTCTGGTGCTTTATCACAGTTACCAGTATGTAACTCTTCCATGTAAAAGACCTCTCCCCTGTAAAAGACCTCAGGTAGGTTTTCAGAAGAAGTAATCTGAGTGAAATCACAATTTTTGAAGGCCAATTATTTTACAAGTTGCCACCATCACCAAAGGGATTGTAAAAGAGAACACATGATAATTCCAAAAATGTAAAGAGACTGCACGATAAACTAAAAAGAACAAAGGCTTTAAAACTAAATAAACATGAATTTAAATCCTGGCTCCTTGGCAAGTTACTTGACCTCTCTACGCTTATCTATGTAATGGGAGAGAAAAACCCTACCTAATGGGTAGAGTATTTGTGACACTTAAGGGGTGTGTGTGTGTGTATCTCATTATGTACTTACATATAAATAAATATATAAAGTGCCCTATACAGCATCTAGAACTAGCATATGCTTACTGGTTTTTAGTTATCAATACTATAGAAAAAAGTTGAAGTAAGAAAAACTGAATGCCTACTGAAATAACTGAATGCCCAATTTGGAATCAGGAACTTCACTAGGTTTTTCCATTTATATTATTTTATTTAGAGACTTACTAAAAATATTGATTATTTTTAGTACTGATATTGTTGGCCACATCTTAATAAATTTCTACTTAATGATCACCATCAAAATTATAGGCCTTCAAGCATATTTTCTGTAATATTCAGAACGGTAGATATTATAACCCAGTTTAACTGATAAGAAACCTGAAGCCCAGAGAAGTTAAGTAACTTCACCAAGATTACAAGAACTAGTAGGTCTATAATATACTTAAAGGCAAACCCCAGCTAGCTTTACATGAAAGATACCCAACATCACCAGTAATTAGGGAAATGTAAACTAAAACCACAGGGAGTTACCACTTCATGCCTATTAGAATGGTCATGATCAATAAATCAAGAGACAACAAATACTGCCATGGATGTGGCAAAAAAAAAAAAAGGAAGCTTTGTGCACTACTGTAAATGGGTACAGCCACTATGAAAAATAGCATGGAGGATCCTCCAAAAATTAAAACTTGGAACTACATTACAATGCAGCAATTCCACTTTGGGGAATACATATCCAAAGGAAATGAAAACACTAAGTCAAAAATATATCTGCACCCCCATGTTCATGGCAGTATTTACAATAATCAAGACATGGAAAGAACCTAAGTTTCCATCAATGGATAAATGGATAAAGAAGTTGTGATATATACATATATATATATATATATATTAGATATACTGAATATCTATCATATATATATATATCAGCCATAGAAAACAAGGAAATCCTACCATTTGCAACAACATAGATAGACCCTGAAGGCATTATGCTAAGTGAAATGTCAGAGAAAAACAAATATTGTTCAGACTTGTGGTTACCAGAAGTGGAGGGTGGAGGAAGGGAATTGGAGGGGGTGGTCAAAGGTAACAAATTTCCAGTAATAAGATAAATTAGTACAAGGGATGTAATAATGTACAGGAGAATAACTACAGATAACACTGCTATATGATATTATACGGAAGTTAAGAGAATAAATTCTAATAATTTTTATCATAAATAGATTTTTTTCCTTTCTTTTTATTCTGTCTATATGAGAATATAAATGTTAGCTGAACCTATGGTGGTAATCACTTCACAGTATATGTAAATTAAACCATCAGGCTGTATATCTTAAAACTATGGAGTGATATATGTCAATTATTTCTCAGTAAAACTGGGGGAAAAAACCCAAACTCAGTACGCCTGTTGCAAACCACAATTTTATAAGTTAAAAAAAGTATGTGAGTTATACATGTACCAGTAACTAAGAAACAAAGTTGAATGAAACAGTCCTTTTCCTCATGGAACTAACAAACTAATGAGAGAAAGAGATATTTAACAAATAACTAGACAAATATGTATAATATATGTATGTATATGTGTAATATATAAATATATATATATTTTTTCAAATATGTCCAATCATGTTAGCAACAGCTAACTCATATTGCACTTACTATCTGCTCAGGTACTATTCCATTTTACATAAAGCCACTCCTTTACACCTCACAACAACTCTATTATCCCCCTATTACAAATGAAGAGGTTAAGGATCAATGATGTTTAAGTGAACTGCCTAAGAGAGAACTTAACCTAGTCTAGGGAGATCAAGGTGGCTGGGACTACAAAAAAAAAAAAGGAAAGGAGTTAAGGTGAAAGAAGAATGGGAGGGCTAGAAAGATATTCCAGGCTGAGGGAACTCTGTATATCCAATCTCTGAATCATGAAGCAATTTGCCATAGGAAGGAAAGGGACAAACATACATCAGTTTCAAAACTGAAGCATAAACATGTGCATAAAAGTTCTTACTACAAACACACACACACACACAGACCCTTCTCCCCTACCCCAACTCCCCAGCTGTTCAGTGTCTTTTCTCTCTCACATTCTGAAGTCATGGCTTTTCTGAATTCAAACAGCAACAACTTCCGTGGAAGATGGTCTAGTGAGGGGACAGGGCACAGTCAGCCACCCTCAGGTAGACATAGGCCATCTATGAGCACAACTGTAGAGCAAAAGGATTCGGTTTTTTTTCCTTATCTTACTTTTATTCCTAAAGGAATCATGCCATACTTTATTTTTAACCCACAAAAACAATATGTTCTACTAATGCATAAAAAATAAGTTATAAACATCACTGGAAAAAACCTGGCTTTTTATAGATTATAATTTTTACTAACTTTTTTTCCATTTTCACATAATCACAAACAAGTTGCAGGTTTAGTTCAAAGAGTATTTTTTCTGAATTAAATGGGAGTAAGCTGACTACCTGATACACTATGAACTCCTAAAGTATCAATACCTGAATGTGTATTTCCTACAAACAAGGACATTCTCTACATAACCACAATACAGCCACTTTTCATGTGGCATATGATCTCAATGCCGATTTATGATAATATTCTTGATACTGATGATCAGTATCAAGTGATTAAGGTGGTGCCTACCAAGCATCTCCACTGTAAACAAATGCTTTTCTCATCTGTCATTAACAATATTTTGGTTGGGGGGACTATGAAATTCATATGCTGTTTATACTTATATGCCATAAATATACTGTTTCTCATCAATCTTTCAATTTATTTACATCATATAAACTCATGGTTTCCTATTTCATTCAATGGGTTGTAATTTGCTACTATCATTATTTGTTTTTATGCTAGAGTTTTCCCTACTTAGCCAGTGACAACCCCTTCAAGCTGGCTTCTATGTTCCTTTGACATGTTCTCATCATTTTTTAAGGTTTCATCACAAGTTCCAGGCTTATCCTTTTCCTTCCCTGCTTCAGCCCAAGGACCAGTCATTTCTCTAAGGAGCCCTGGTTCCTTTTAGTGGAAAATGCAATCTAGACGATAAGATCTCGATGCTACGTATGCCCATATGTTGGGGACTCACTGTTCCTCTGCTTTCTCAGTAGATAGGGCTAAAGAGTATACATATGTTTTTAACACACACATAAACAAGTTTATATCTACGTTTATCATATTTATGTGTATATGTGTGTGTGTGTGTGTGTGTGTATATATATACACACACACATATATATATGCTTAAGTTCACAATAAATCCAATTCCAATCCAACACCACAGGGTTCTTCTAGTTTTCTCCTTTTCCTTATTTATAACTTCCTTTTCTAACATTCAGAAAAACAGGCCTCTCATTATCCTTCATATGTATTTAATCAACTCCCTCATATGAAACCAGTTTTTCATTTCCCCTGTCACTCCCTCACGTGCATGGACATTTTCCTCAGGCTCAGACAGCCAAGATGGATATCCTCCCCAGCCAATGCTGTATCAAGCAGCACCTTGTGGAGATGCCCTCCTTAACTTACTTGAGCTCTAACACTCTGCTCTGGGCCACCATGCCTCTGACACCTAACATAAGTCTTCAGCCCTACCTAATGGTTTTAGGACTAAATTGTTCAGAAAGGGGAAATGGATGGGAGGAAGGAAGACTTGAGGGATTAAAAATTTTAACCTGGACCATAACCAACCGTATTTCATGTATCAGATTCTATATCACAACTGAAATTCAAATAAATAACCAGCACTTAAATAGTATTTTTCAGTTTACAAAAGTTTTTCACATGAATTTCCAACTTTTTTTCT